TTAAAAAAAAAAAAATAAGAGTAGTTCTGTTTCAAACACGTTGAGTTGGAGGTTCCTGCGGTACCATCCCATAGGGGAATCTCGTATTTCTGAGAAAGGAGAGAGGTGTAGGCTGGGGATAAAGACATGGAAGTCATCACCACAAGGAGGAAAACAAAATCCACATGAGAGGACAATTCACCCCCGTGAGGAGAGTTCAGAGCAAGAAGGGAAAGAAGCGAAGGATAGGCCACTGCACAACACTGACAGAAAAAGAAGAACCCACAAAGGAGATTGAGAGGACAGGATGAGGAAGACAGGTGGGGAGGCAGGACGAGCGTGTCACTGAAGCCAAGGTGAGAACTTAGAGGAGGGAGTGGCCCATCCTCTGAGGGAATCTGAACAGGTGATTTCAGATATCCCTTCAACTTCTAAAGTTTCTTTAATCCCAAAATTGGGGATCCTAACTTGAAAAGTTAATGGCTTCTGTAGGATTCTTCAATGATATCTTGAACAGATATTTTCCTAACTATAGAAGAATCCTTCTATAACACCCTCATTTTATTAAAAACCAAAATCCTCATAAGCCAAAGCCTTAATAGATGTTACAAATGTACAACAGCTAAATATTAGATTTTCCTCTGGAAAAGTTTGCCTGTGGCATCAGGTTAGAAACAGATACAGAATCCCTAATCCTCAGTAAATTTTGACTGCAGATTGGACAATTTGTGGCATTTAGATAAAAGGACTGGGTCCTGTGTTCATTTTCCCTCAGGACTCCTGATAAAGTAACCTGGTAACACATGCACACCAACCTGTTAGGTACGTAGAGGCAGGAGACTTTCTTGTGTTGGGCAAGATCCTCGAGTCTTTGGGTCAGCTGGGCCTTCAAAGCACCCTGGGAAACAGGGCGAATAGGATCCTGATTTCCCCAAAACAGTTTTCTGTTAAGAAGCATAAAAATAAAATATAAGAAATTCACTGCTAATACAAATCTAAGAAATAGCTCTTAACAGCTTCTGTACTGATTTTCCTTCATTTTGAGAACTGTTTCTAACACACAACTTTCTCATTTCCAGGTATCAGAAATGGATAAACTATAATATTTATGGAAGTTAAAAATAAGACTATAAGAAGATTGTTTTATCTATTGTCTTAAAACATGGTGACCAAAAATGAACCTATTAGAGATAGTTTTGTTTCTGCCATCAAGTAAACACTGTCATTGTCGATTGTCATAAAATGGGTATGCCAACTACACCAAGCTCCCATTTTGGGTGAAGCCCTGTACCAAGTGGTCAGAAAATAAAATAGTAACAGAATACTATTGATAGCTACCCTTTGTGACATTCTCGCCATGTGCCAGACACTGTGCTAAGTACTTTACAGACATCAGCTCTAGTCTCAACAGCCCCGTGAAACAGGTATGGTCACTGTGCAGGAGATGAACAGAAAAGGAGAAATCAGCATAGGATTGACCTGGAAAGGCTTCATGGAAGAAAGTAAAAGGCACAGACGGCCAGCGATGAGGCACGTTCCATGTTGGGGTAACAGTGGGAAATGAATGTTCGGGTTGAAGCGGCAAGTCCTACTGAGAGGTAATTAAGCAACATTGCTGGAATGGGTAAGGAGGGCAGAAGGAAGTCTTGAAACTGAGGAGGAAGAAAAAGGTATCTCAGTAACCAACTTTGTACATAATTCATTTTGCCAACTAACGGGGCTTATCCCTTTAGAAGGCCCCAGGTTTTCTTTTTTTCAAGTTTTCTTGTATTTTTGGATATAATCTGTCTCTGTTCCATAAACGTCAGCTGGGGTCATTATTAGAAATATTAATGAATTAATATTCCCACCCACTACATTCCACTGATTCCATTTAATAAATATTGGCTCAATTATTGGCCACACCACTGCCAATGATCTTTCTAAATGCAGATCTGATCAAGTTACCCCTTTGCTCCAGGCACTTCCAAGGTTTCCACTGACTTTAGAATAAAGTTCTAACTCCTTACTGTGGCTTGCAAGATCTCCACAATTTTGACAAGAGTGCCTGTCTCTCCAGCCATATATTCTTTCAGATGACGTCTTAGTCGTTTGGAGATTTCCCGTTGCATAGTTCATGCTGTACACAGAGGTGCTCAGCAATGGTTTGATGAATGAAGAAATGGTGAAAACTGGAGACTCACCTGATAGTGACATGCGGCAGAAGGTATCACAGAGGACAGGACGACCTCAGGGAGAATAGAAGCGAGGAGGGCCAGGGGAGGGGGAGCTGCAGTGGGGAAGACAGCAACTATGTTCCCAAAGAAGAGAGAGGTGGGTAGAGGCGAGAGCACCATGTAATGGAAGCCAAGGAGAGGAAGAGCTTGAGACAAGATGCATCAAATATATCAAAAAGCATCAAATATAACTTAGACATCAAAAAGGATGAAAACTGAAAAAATAAAGGACAATGGGATTCAGCCAGGTGATTATCAGTGGTAATAACAAAAAGAGTGAAAAAATGTTGTTGGATAGGGATAAATATAAAAGTTTAGGAGGGTCAGGGATTAGGAAGCAGGTGTGATGGAGATATATATACATATGGGTTTTTGCATTCACTGTTTCAAATTCAAAGCAAAAGTTAC